ATAGGCCATTAAGTGATATTAACTATATCTTGGCATACAAAATCAAATAGTTCACTTATATGAGAAACTTTGGGCATCTAATTGTGAGTATGAAAACTGACACTAAATTACTATTAAATATGCTATTTAGCCATGATCATCAATGCTCAGATTATGATTTACTCTTGATCAAGCATATCTAATTTAAAGAGAAATGGATCAGACGTTTCATAAATAAGATATTAGTTTCATACATTACTTAGACTAGGAAAAAAAATATAAGGATGCTGTATAAATTTGAAGATGAGTTAATTAAATGAAGTCTTTATGTCTATACATTTCATAAATGTTTTATACTTCTAAACAGCTGGGCCACAGTCAGTAAGGATGGGATCTCACCAATCCTCTACTCTGATACTAAGCCCCCCAGGGTTATGTGCTAAGCCCTTTTCTTTATTCCTTGTACACGCATGACTGTACCCCACTGTATAACACCAATGGAATTATTAAATTTACGGATTACACAACAGTGGTGGGGCTCATTAATAAGAACAATGAGTCTGCTTACAGGAAGTAAGTACAAGGGCTGACATTGTGGTGTAATGAAAATAATCTCACACTTAACACCACAAAAACTAAAGAATTTATAATTGACTTCAGGAGGAAGAGAGATGTATAACTACCACTGTACATAAATGGTGAGGAGGTGGAGAGGGTGGGTAGTTTTAACTTATATCTCACAGCGCTGATATCTCGGACGACCTCTCATGGACTATGAATGCTAACATGCTTGTGAAGAAGGCACAGAAGAGGCTGTACTTCCTGAGGATGCTCAGGAAGATAACTCTATCTCAGCATCTACTTCTGTCCTACTATCGCAGCACCATTGAGAGTGTCCTGACATACGGCAGTCTTGCATGGTATGGGAGCAGCTCTGTAGCGGACAAAAAAGCTCTACAGAGAATCATTAAAACTGCCCAGAATATTATCAGACTCCAGCTACCAGCCCTGGACAACATCTTCGAATCTCACTGTTTAAGGAAGCTGTATAACATTCTCAAAGACTCTTCCCATCCTGCTTACAATCTTTTTGGACTGTTGTCTTCTGGCAGAAGATACAGAACAATTAAAACTCGGATCACACGTTTTCTGAATAGTTTTTAACTCAGAGCTATAATTGCATTCAACAATGAACTAAAGGGCCACTATCAGTGAGGTGTTGGACAGTATTACTTGGTCTGTTGTGTGGATGTTTGGATAGTTTAGGGGTGGGGAATTGTGGTGGGTGGGAGTGTGTTTGGGGATTATGTGTGTGGGACCTGGTCTTTGGGTGTTAAGTAAATTTCGTTGTATGTGTATACTGTGTATACACATACAATGACAATAAAGTTTATAAAGTATAAACAAACTTTTTAGCCATAAACTGGAAGAAAAACCCTATATTTGCATTTTTTCAGTGTTTAAAGTCCTTGAAGTTTATATTTTATTATATCAACTTGAGGAGTTACATTTTGAAAATAGGTATGTGAAGATTACTGTAGTATATAGTAGTGGCCAAAATTGTGGAAACCTTTTGGGAAAAGTGTATTTTTGAGATCTGATGGCTAATAACACCACTTTTTTTTGGAGTAGTACCATAAAATTATATATCAATGGAAAGATAATTTAATCAAGAATGCAATGCAATAACTTTTATGAAGGATTTGCTATTATAATAGCAGTAATAAAGAAGAAAAATGAAACACATAGAAAAAAATGAGATATACAAAAATTATCACCATGTCAGTTAATACTTAGTTGGGTAACCTTTAGCATGAATTATGGCCTTACAACGTCTTCCCATGGAGTGAACCAAGTCTTTTAGTTCTGCAGCTATAATGTGAAACCAAGATTGAATGATTGCTTCTATTAACTGGGGTTTATTGCTGGGTCATTCTGACTAACAAGTTTCTTTAGTCAGCTCCATAGATTTTCAATTGGGTTAAGGTCTGGGCTATTCCCAGGCCATTCTAGCAGTGGAACATGATTATCTTGAAACCACTTTTTGCACACAGCAGCAACATGACATGGAGCTGAATCCTGCTGAAATATAAATATTTCATTGTCTTGGAAAAGATCATGTGCGGAAGGCTTCAGTTTGGGCTCAAGTATTTCATTAATGTATTTTTGACCATTTATATCCCATTAATCACACAAATTTTGCCCACACCTTTTGATGTCATACAACCCCAGATCATAACACTGACTGGGTATTTCATGGTACATGTAATGCAATCAGGACACAAATCTTCTCAGTCTTCTTCTTACGTATTTTATGCTACAATTACAAAAAAGGTAGATCTTGGTCTCATCAGTCCAAATAACAGTCCCATTGTTCCTCTGTCCAGGTAACATGGGTCTTAGCCCAGTTTACTCTTTTCAACCTTTGTTTGAGAAATATAAGTGGCTTTTTTCGTGGAATTCTAGATTTTAGGCCAAATTCCTGCAGTCTGAGCGAACAGTCCTTGCACTCAACTTCACACTGCATTGCACCATTTCATCTTGTATACACCCAGATGATTTTCTTCTGTCACGTAGGCATAGTCTCTTAATTCTTCTATCATCACTTGCTGTTGTGCACCTTTTCCTGTCTTTACCAGTGTGGTTTTGTAGTGACTGAGTCTCCTTATACCTCTTCAAAAACTTAGAAATACCACCTTTGGTTAAGTTTCCACCATTTTTTCTTCTAATTTCTTTATAACTGTAGCCTTGTTCACTTAATAATACTATTTTACATCGCTTTCTGGGCGACCAGGCAAATATTTGCACCATTACTTTAATTCTATTATGTTTTATAAGCTCACTAAATGAAAGAACACAAAAATCCCCAAACAACTTGATAGCGCTCACATAACACACTGACAAATGTCCTCCTCTCAGCTTCAATACATGACATCAATAACTGAATCCTGTGATCTGATTAGGTCATTGCCAAAACAAGATGACACCTGGTTGGCTCTCTAAACACTCATGCTCATTGGCTACAATCAGTTGAAGGAAAGCTACCTGATATCAACCTAAGCAAGTTGTGCTTCCTTTTTCTGGTTATTTGGCTATAACGTTTCATAGAATACAGATAATTGAACAAACTTTGCTGTATTGCATTCTTGATTAAATTATCTTTCCATTGCTATATTATTTTATAGTACTACTCCAAAAACAAAGTGGTGTTATTAGCCATCAAACCTCAAAAATACACTTTTCCCAAAAGGTCTCCACAATTTTGGCCATAACTGTAAATATACTTGGCAATTCCTGAACATACTGTCCATATAAGAAACATATACAGAGGTCAGGAAGCCGCAACGTAGAAGGAATATGGTAAAACAGACTCAGTCCAGATTGATAAAGGAACAAAACAAAATTATATGCTCTCCCCAACCTATATGCTGAATATTGTATATATTGAGAGAAGTTGAATTGCAGGAAAATTGAGTGTGATTTTTATATTGAAGGTAAAGGAGTCCCTGTGAATTTTACTCTGCTACTCATGGCCAACTATAGGAAACAGAGCTCATCTCTGTTTCAAGACCACTGAGCCAAGACTTTCAGAAGACATTCCAGGATCATGTGGTCAGTGTGATGTCATGGAGCATTGTTACCTTCACACCAAAGTGATACCTATTTATCTACTCCCATTTGCATGCTTTCGATTGGCAGGAGTTGGGGCAAGTAACAGGACTCACCCTGTTGCATGGAGCTCATGTCTTAAACCTGGGCTGTCGGTTTTCCAGCTGACAAGCCCAGCATCCTGCACTATTCTGATGACTCTATTTTGACAGCTGAAATGTCAATGATATGAAGCTTTAGTTAATAAAATTGAAGGAACACAGTAAAATTACAGGACAAAGATTAAATACAGTGAAAACTAAAAAAATAACAAGTTAAGAAGCCATCTTTAGAACTGACAAGATACAGAAGTGGTAGGTATTGTTTGTTTAGGATCAACAAACAGTAAATGACCATGCATTCGAGAAGTATGCTCAGCCCAGTACTTGATAAAAGCAGCAATGAAGGCCTTGAAAAAGATATTCAGATTCCAGGATGTGTCTACAAAGATGAAAATTATGCAGGCAAAGGTTTTCCTCTGACACTTTATGACAATGAAACCTACACTTTGAACAAGCAGGAGACAAAGAGTATTGACATTTCTGAACTTTGGTGGGAATACCATGGATGGCCAAAAAAACCAAACAGTTAAATCACTGAACAAATCAATACTGAATTCCAATCAAGTCTCAAATAACTAGGCTCAAATTATAGTATTTTATTTATTTATTTATTTATTGGTTCGATTTATATGTCGTCCTTCTCTGGAGACTCAGGGCGGCTTACAATGCGTTAAGCAATAGCCTTCATACTTGAACACATTATGCTAAGATCTAGCTCTCTAGAAAAGTCTATAATGCTTGGAAAAGTGGAAAGAAAAGAAAAAGACAAACAACTTCAAGATGGCAGCCTTCAAGGTACATCAATCTAGGAAACTGATACCATGTAGGTTGGTACTACTTTTATTATAAAGCTACAGTAAAGGAACCTTGAAAATCTAAACATGCTTCCCCTCCCTCTCTTTTCTTTATATGAACTTGAGAACAACCTTGTTACTGCGTTTTGTATTTACCAGCTGAGCTCTCATTTCTGGACTATCAGACTTTCCGTAGCTTGCCAAGAATCCTTATCGGTAAGCTAAACTGCGCATGTGTCCTCCATCCACATTCCTTCACTCTTTCCTTTGTTCTCTTGCCAGAAGTCCAGCTGCTGAGAAAGCAGCTGGCACGAACTTTTATTCAAAATGTAACCAATTAGATCAGTTAGGTGTTTTATTTTCTTTATAACAAATAAATGAGTTTTCTTAGAAAATATCTTCGGGTTTTGTTTTCTTAAAGTATACTTGCAAGGAAAGGTCTCGATCCGCCCCTCGTAATCAGGTGCGATTATCCCAAAAGCAGAATGGGATTAATCAACGCTCTGACAAACCTGACTGAGAAGTTACTCATGTTTATTTCATGGCCTGGGCTTAGGACTCTTTTATTTTACTATTGCGTTGCTGGCAGCTCTTCCTCCTATTCTTCAAGGTTACTCCCTCTTTCCTCTATACAAGGGAGATGGATTCTGTTGCAATAAGGATGATTGCACTACTGGATGATCTGAACAATCACATTGAAGCATATCGTCCTGGTTTCTAAGAGTTTTTGGAAAAACAAGTTATACAATCTGAGAAATAAGAAAAATATAGTTTATCACTTGAAATAATGTAAGATCCCTCTGACAGGTATAATTTCTATGTTTGAGAATACAAGCCTTTTTATTGTAAAGTTAATGCACATACCCTGTTTCCCCTAAAATAAGATATCCCCTGATAATAAGCCCAATTGGGCTTTTGAGCGCATGCGCTAAAATAAGCCCCCCTGAAAATAAGCCCTCCCCGAAAATAAGCCTGCCCTGAAAATATTTAATTGCATGCACAGCCGATCCCCACCATTTCCTCTGGTTAGGTTTAAGGAGACAGAGCTGGAAATTAGGTAGAATGGCAAGAAGAGCCCCATCTTGCTCCATGCACCCCAAAATAATAAGACATCCACGAAAATAAGGCCAAGCACTTATTTCAGAGTTCAAAAAAATATAAGACAGGGTCTTATTTTCGGGAAAACACGGTAGTGAGTTAATGCATCTGAGAAGTTTCCAAAATATTTATATAAGAGAGAGGACTTGAAAGTAGTTATTTCTAAGAGAAAAATATGAAATTTTCAGATCCAGAAATCTGTAATATTAATCTATTATATGAGTTATGCCAGAATACCTTCATATTTAATTCCACATTCCATACTGGCATTAGGAATTTTGTTTAGTTTTGCCTCCACATGTCAGATCAGGAAGCCTGTAATGGCTCTGTTCTCAGTAATTGTATCATTTCTTTTTAACACAATTAACAAGATAGGAAGTTGCTGCAGATTGTAAAATGCAAATGCTTCTATTTGAAGAAAGGTACAATAAAATGATTTCATTTTTACTTGATATTGCTTAATAATTACAATTTTTTTTTCTATTTAACTTACATTTCTTCTAAATATCTTTTTATATGTAACTACAAATAAAATCTCAAACAATGTAATTCAATCATAGTGCATATATCCAGAATATCTTTACTCTCTCTAGGGTTTCAATTAATTTTCATCTAGCCTCTGTCAGTATAATTAACATAATTATTGAGCAGCATGGTACTTCAACTTTTGTTTTTAAAATGACCAAGTTTATTTAAAGTGTTGCACCTGGATCCCAACGAGAAGACAACAAAACAAGAACAAAATTTGTTAGGAAAAATGAATCAAAAAAATGAAACAATAAGCACATCAAAGTTTCTGAGTGGCATACTTGATATCTAATTATAATACACTTTATTTCACACTTCTAACTAAAATGTCAATAACATCACTTTAATATTTTGTAGTACTAATTATCCAATTTCCATAATTTATTGTAATATTACATGTTCCTACATATACATGACATGTATGTGAGAAAATTATAATACATTTTCAATACTTGTATCACAAGCCAGTAGTGTATCACCAAAGCCAAATGACAATCTGGGACTTATGCCTATAATATTTATTCCTCAAGCATACACTTTAATTTGATATGAAATAATAGGAAGCTGAAATATGTTTATTACACTTAGCATGTTACATTCAGTGCAAAATGAGATTCCTGGAAAATAGACTAATACTACTAATCAATAGATCTGACTCAGTGAAAAGTCTTGAAATGATAAAAGGAGGCATCAAACATGAGGACAGATCATTAACTGATCTAGCAGCTGTCTATCATTTACAAACATGTGAAAATGTCTTCTTTAATATATCGCCAACTCAGTTCAAACTGAAACACTGCTTCAGAAATGTTCTCTGAGGGTCTAGTATTGCTTTTTCTCTAAATTTAGTCAGGTACTCTTGCAATTGCCAGGAACCAATGTTAATAGCAGTGGTAAAGGAACTTTTATAAAGAGTGTCTGAAGTTCCAACTTGGAGACATTCAAATAATCCTTTATGTCAGATGCTTCAATGTTAAAATGGATTGACAAAAAGAAAAGACTACTTCTTTATGTCAAAGACTACATTTAACACTGTAATTCCTCCTTTTAGCACATATGTAAGTCAACTCCTATTAATTTTATTAATAATATAATAATACTAATTTGATTAGCTGAGTAAAACAAACAGAAATAATTATATGAAAATATTAGTATATATTTGGTAATCTAAGATGTAGTTACAAGGTTTTTTTTTTAAATCCACTACCTTGTTCTTTGACTCCTAATTTAACCTGGACTCCTCACCTGTAAAAAAAGAATTTGATCTGACTCGTAAATAAATTCCCAAAACACTAAGATGAACTCTCCTTTAAACTTGTTGCCTATGTGTTGTTCAATTTAAATCATTTGCATCCACTATGACATCAGATGAGGGAAAATTAATATTAAAATCTTAAGGGAAGTTCTGTAAAAGCCCCATAAATGATAATGACTTTATTCAACAGTTTTGCCAATTGGACAGTTCTTTGAGCTCCATAGTCTGTTCCAAAATGGGTGATTGAGTCGCCAATAATAACATGCCAAAGTCATGGCACCTTAAAAACTAATACATCTAATACACAGTAAGTTTTTATGGACTGTATACCAGTTCAATAGATGAAGAAAAAATATTCTGAAATAGTTGTTTTTAGCTCTTTATTTCATACACACCCTTATATATGCTGGCGGGACTGTAAAAAGATTCAGACATAAATGAAAAGAATGGGTACATATAGTGAAAGTTGCCTATAAACTAGTCATTAATAAAATAGGTCTTTGGTATGACATAGATATTCTTACATTTATGTTTTGATAAGAGAAATAAGCTCGGTAAGAAAAAAATCCTATTTATTTTATCCATGAGAAATTATATTAAGTTTTGATGAATTTTAGCTCAACTCTTTTACATGTAAATCAGTCTTTATGATTGCTACAGATCATCTGAACAGGAAAGCTAAACAAGACATGTAAAACCTTTTTGAAGGAAGCTGACAGTTTTCCTTTGGTGGGGAAGGGAATGATCAGGTCCTGCATAATGGCGATGGGTGGAACCTTGCTGTTTTTAGTTATCTCTGCCTTCCCATTATCTCTTCCTATTCTTGCATATCCTTGTCCATTCATTTGTTTTCTCACACACAAATTTCATATTTTTGCAGATATGAAAAGGTGAGAACAGCATGTATTTAGCTATACTATCAATTCCCCATTGTACTTCCTTTTCTGAATTCTTCTTAACTCTATCAAATATTTTTGAAGAGTATTTTTTTCAAATGTTGTTTTACTCTACACTATCCCTCATCCTACCTCCTTTCTTCAGTTCTATCTGACCAAACTCCCTCTTACACATTTCTTCCATAAAGAGAAAATTTTAAAAGAAAGATTAATAGGCAAATTCACAAACTGACTTGGAAGTACTGGATGCCCAATGCAAACACAAGAGCATGAATTTCAATGATATATTTCCATTTTAACCATCACTCTGTAACTTGAGTTTCAAAGTCTGCCTGTGAGTCTGCTCATTTTTTGCCTTGTGATGATGATTTAATTGTATAGTCCTCAAAGACAGGATTAATGAGGTTTAAAACTATATTTTGTTTAAGGATGAAGATAATTTAGTGTATAGGTCTCTTTGTTATATGAGACCAGCCACTCAAACATCATTTGAGCTCACTGATTGACTTTGGGCACTTACTATCACTCTATTCAACATTCATATTTTATTCGATTTTAAATTTTGTATATCTATGTGTTTTATCTCATGGCTGTGCACCGCCCTGAGTCCTTCGGGAGTAGGGCGGTATAGAAATTCAATAAAATATAAAATATAAATATATAGTAGAATTTTTGTCCTGTACTATATGGAACTTCATAGGCTTTTTAGAATTGAATCTATGATATAGCATTAATCATGTTCTGGTTGTACAAATATTTTTTCAGAGGTCCCTAAAGGATAAAAATATACCAAAAATATGCTTGCCGAAAAACATATAACCTAATGATCCCACTACAAAAGAAGAAAGAGAGATGGAAAGAGTCAATAAATGAGCAAATTCAGGCACCAATTAAATGTTTTATATAAGACAGAGGTTTAATAGTAATGAGCTCATGGAATGGGCTATGGACAATCCTTAGCTTCTTGAATATGAATAAAATGTTATTTAACCCATGGCTTGTTTGTTTATTTTAGAATTTCTGATTTGCTTTATAGCTTGAATTTAGGGCAACTGAAGCCATTTTTTAATACTAATGACATATGTTAAATCCATGAAGCTGCTACTTATAATGTAGATTGTTTGTGGGAAAAAGTAGACTACTATAATTTTTTTCAATCTTTTGCTTTCCAAATATGGTTTAGGACTGCTACTCCCAATATTTCTAGCCAAAATAGATGAAGGCCACGATAACTGATAACTGCAATTGCTAAACATTGGAAGGCAAAGGTTTGGGAAGCCTATTTTAATATATTGAATAATGTAGAATAATAACATTAGTGGCGTATTTCAAAATCTCTACATTGGAGTTAAAGATGATGTCATTCCCCCCCCATACAACTAATTTTCACTGACCCACCTTAAGGAGATATAAATTGAAAAAGAATACTATTAACGAAATATGAGTTGTAAAATCCCAAAACATTTTTAAAAGGACACTTGGTTTGTTTTGTTTTGTTTACATTCCAAATATAAATGTGCTCTCTAGTTGTTCCTTTAGCTTACTCAGAATTGATCCATTCATTCTCCACATCGGTTTGATGAACAACTCAACATTCTCGCTGCAGCAGTATGCTATTCTTTCAATCCCCTATCATATAATTTCTTATTCACTCCACATGCTAGAAAAGAGAAGTTTGCTGCTTTGAACTTTTTCCTACAACTTTCAAAGGACCGAAAGAGAAGGGGTGGGAGAGAGAATAGGGACGTAAGAAGTAAGAAAGAAAGGACGCATCAAGGTGAATTAGATTTCCACATCATTTATCCTACAGAAAAGCATATACTTTAATCTACCCTTAAGCAGACAGAGGCATCATTAGGGCTGCATTTTGTCTACAAAGCTAAAAAGAACAGCAAATCTTATACTTCTGTGTCGATCTAGTTTGACCAGTTCTGCAAGTTCACTTAAAAGGGAAGGCATGACATTTCCATTTGTGCTGCTTTGAACAAAGCCTGAAACTAAGCTAACAGGGTGGAAATGGTTTGGGTTACAATATGGGGTTTTATAAATTACTAACATATCTAATGAGCGAGTCACTTAAATCAGGATAAAATGAAAGTTATGTACTAGTCTAAACCAAGAATACATAATGTGTTAAAAGAACCACAAGAAATAATGGATATGATTGTTTATACATTTCATTTTTAAACAACAGTTACATTAGTATTGCGGATTGAAAATAAGACTGGTGGCCTAGCTGCATACCTTTTAAAACTCCATAACAAACAAATGATTATTAATCCAATATAATCATAATATTTCACATATGCTAAATAATTAAACTTGCATGTGAATTTCAGGAAAGTATGACCATTGAAAAAAATCAGTATAAAAGAAAAATGTGTAATTCACAGAGCGAAATATACCAGCAAAGAATGAAGTAAGAAACAATTCAGTTTAAAAAAGGAAGAGAAAATGAAGGATTATTTTGATGGGAATAAAAGGATATTTTGGAAATGGATGAAGAAAGGTCCACAATTTGCTAGTTAATGGAATTAAACTTAAGTGATATTACTTGTGATGCAATCAATGTGAGGAATTGTTGGAAGGAGTATTTTAGTGATATTGATGGAATGTTACTGATATGTTAAAGAATGTAACTAAAATAAGTTACATATGCTAGTATGCCAGAAAACTGATGAAAAATAAGTCATAAGGTTGTAGTAGGCACAGACAGTGTATCTGCATAAATGTTAAAATATCTATGTGGATTATTAAGGAAGGGTAACAACTGCATTGATGCTGAAGTTTTGCAAAATGTCATTATTTGTCCTCTAAACAGAGGAAAAGCTAGCAAGAGTAAATGCAGAAACTAGTCAGAGGTAATTTATTAAGGGTACCTCAAGAAGGATCAAAGTGGAATTCTGACTAATTGGATACCAGTTGTAGCAATGAACAACGTTTGGGAAGTTCAGTTTATGCTAGGTGCAGCGTTTTTAGATTTTTGCTATTCAACAACTCATTGAAAAAAAAATGAGTATGAAAAAAAGTTTGCTGATTTACATAAAGAATATGATAATATGAGTAGGATTGCAAAAGATGGAATTAAATGCTGGTTTCTAAATATGGTCACAAGCAGTAATGTGAGAAGAAGAATATTATTTATCAAAAGGCAGGTAGAAAGACAAGGTGTGATATCCCTTTGACTGTTTAATATAATTTAATATTTAATTTTAAAGTATTTTTACTATACTCGAATATTCCCTTGGTTGTTTATAATGTGTCCTTTTTCATTAAAATGAATTTCATTTTGGTTATTTATATAAGAAAACTAGTGAGAATAGTCAGCTTTTTAAAAACTCCATTAACTCTGACCTGGACTCCATGTAAACTTTCATTTATTTGCAGAGAGAATCTGGATTTTAAAAAGTCAAGATGGATTTAAAAGAAAATTACAAATGGAGAAAATAAGAGAAAAGATTTAAGAAATGTAATGTTTCAAGTTAAAATGGTATAATATCACAAATCTCACAGCATGATGTTGAGTATGGTACAGTATGGTATTGAGTACATGAAATCTAAAAATTTCAGCATAGTAGCCTCCCAAAATTATGCCCCCTCTGAACAAGCATAAAGAGAATGGTGATTTGTATCAGAGTTGACATGCTGTGGGTGTAGCAAAGTTCATGAAATCTATTATTTATATATTAAAACATTATAAATACTTGATTGTGCAGTTTCTATGCACATTAATTACAAAACTATGACAAACGTTATTTTTAGTAAAACATGATTTCAGATCTGAGCTGATGATTAGCTATTCTTTTCCAATTGCCTCAAATAAATATATATCCCATTAATTCACTTTGCAAAAATTTTAATTTCTTCTTCATGAACAAGAGGTCTTGTTACACACCCATTCTATTTTCAACTGTGCACTAATCCTTTCTCCACCCTAAATTTATAATATTAAGCCAGAAACTCTGAAGGGAACTGCTTTATTAAAATGGAGATCTTCACATGGAGGTTGATTGGGCAGTATGTCCAATCTTATTCTGAATCCATTGTGGAGCTCTCACATATGCAGGTGAGGGTGTCTGCTCCATCCTTATTCAATGATAAAAGGAGATTGATGCAGCATCTTCCTAATCATAGCTAAAATCATCAAGGGTCAAAACCCAAGCATACAGTTCAAATCCTAAAATAGCATTTCAAAATAGTAATAAACTGGTGAAAACAAATCCACTCATATATTCATATTTAATTCAGATTAGACAGAGGTATTTCACATCTATCAGATAAAGATCAAGGACTTCCTAACACATTTAATGCCATTACAAAGGGAAAGACAATATAAACAAGTTAAACAGACAACCGTAAATGCCATCTGTATCTGGGAAGAATCTCTTCAGTCATGGTAGATCTAGAATTGCCAGAGAAATCCATCACAAATTTCTTTTCAACCAAACGCGTGCTCTTTGCCAAAACAATATTTGATATGGCACAAGTAGGCACACAATTCATATATCTTATCTACTAGTGACATATCAAAATACTGCACAGCTTAAAATTTCTCACAAAAATTATATATTAGAGAAAGGTATGTACAAAACTTTAAAAAATAAAATAACTTATATCAACCTATGTTTATTAGGAAAGCATACCTATAAAATACAAAATGTAAATTAAAAAAACTTTATAGAATTAAATTACTTTGTCGCAAACGTATGCATGACTAAGAATATGTAAAAGTAACATCACAAAGATATTAATATGTGGAATGTCACATCCACTTGTAATCACCTAAGTTTGTATGATGAACATGTCAGCTTTATGGAAGTTGTTCCCCTTTAGGAATCCTTAAAGTTTAAAACCAGCATTTTCAGTTGTATCCAGAAAGGAATTGGAAATCGAAGATGATTTCAGGCAAAGAACTAATACACTCACCACTTTGTGATTTTTTAACTGTTTGATGTCGTATTTGGAAACGGTTGAAATTTCCAGGAACTTTCACAGACTGTATTACAGTGATCACCTTAAGATATTCAACAACGCAGTCTTTTAACTCTTGCTAGGAGTTTCCAGATAACATGATTTATTGGAAATAACTATGTGAAAACAAGCTCATTGTGAATATATGGTGAAAATGCCTATGATATTTCACCCTTCCTTTATAATGGTTGACATTACATATTTATTTGATCTATAACTGGTACTTTGAATATAAATTTAACCAATCTTTTGCAACTTACTAGCATTTTCATCATACAATTATACTTGTTTGTAAATTTATTGGGAAAGATGTGAGGCTTGTACAAAATTTTAAGGTCCAGAGGCCTTTGAGAAGACACAGGTAACTTTCTGATCTGTTGAAGGAAGAGATGGATTAAAGACAGCTAAGCTAGCTAGTGTAAGTTTTATCACTATACAGTACAGGCCTAACAGATGGAAGCCAGTTCTAAAGC